CGGACGCGGCAGCGCCACCCGCAGGGCGCGCGCGGGGCCGCCCCCGCCGGGGTAACCGGGGGCGCGTGGACGGGGGGATCCCCGTAAAGGACGGGCAAAGGGGGCTCCCCAGGGGGCGGGGGAGGATGGGCAGGGGGGCTCCCCATMGCAGAGYRGCMTGGGGGGCTGCCCAGCTCCCCATGGGGCGGGGAGCATGAGCAGGGGGCTCCCCATGGAGCAGGTTGGTTGGACAGGGGGGCTCCCCATAGCAGAGCAGCCTGGGGGGCTGCCCAGCTCCCCATGGGGCGGGGAGCATGAGTAGGGGGCTCCCCATGGAGCAGGGGAGGGAGATGGAGATGGGGAGGGCACTGCGGGTGCCACAGTGACACCCCGGGGCGTCTCTGCCCCTCTGCTCTGCCTGGGGCCCGGGGAGCTCGTCCTGCCCGGCCTCATCCCCTGTCCTTGCAGAGCCTGCACGCTCGGGATGGATGAGCAGGGCCTGCTCCCAAGTGCTATGGAGGACTTAAGGAAAACAGTAAGTGTGCTGCTGCAGAGGGGTTGCTGGCACTGCGATTGCTGAGGGACACCGGGAAGCCCAAGGGGCTGCACAGGGGAGTCGGGGAGAGGGGAAGTTACAGAGGCCTCTGCTCGCAGGGCTGCCCACAGTAACGTCCTGTCTGTGTCCTGTCCTGTCTGTTATGGGGACTTTAGGATTACAGCAAGTGGCAGAAGGCAGAAGCAAAGGAGAAGAAATCTCCAGCCCGCCAGTTGACTTTGCCACCGATCACAAGCGAGGGCAAGAAGAAGAAAGGGAAGAAAAACAAGCCAGGTTGGCAGGTGCTCCCCTCGTGCAGCACCCTGGGTCACGCCACGCTTGCCTTCAGCCAGCGCTTTCTGCTGAGAGCATTCAGCAAAAGCCCCGAGAAACGCAGGGGGAAATGCTGAGGATCAGGAGGGAGGGCCTGGAAGGACCTGGGAGCAGACACAGCCCCCGGGCTGCTGCTCCTGCTGGGGTTGTGGTGGGCACAAATCCAGTCTCACGGTTTTCTTTTTGTTTCCCCACCTACATATGGCAGGAGATAGTTGATGAAGGCATTGCAGCTGCACCTTGTAATAAACACGGGGCTTTTCTGTTTTACCAGTTACATTCAGGTTGAATAAAAACCCACCGTTGCCTCTGAAGGCATTACCAGCCCAAGAGAAACATGGAAGTTTCGCTCAGAAGAAATCATCACTCAAGGCTGATGAATTGTCTAAAAACTTGGAAGATATCAGGACTATCAAGGTACATGAGACAGATGTGCTGTGATGTAGATAGCAGGTCCGTACAGTTACTTGGCTGACTTTACAGAGGGAATCCTAGCAGTCTGATTCAGCCTTGCAAAATGACACCTGATTATTTATTAATACACCATACAAATATACTTTTTTTTAATGCTAGTGAAATCCAAACTTGATATTGTCTTTTAAGAAAAATGAAGAGAAACTGAGAGAGAGTCCAGAGTGTAGCAACAGGAATGTGAGATTGAGGAAATGTGACCTATTAGGAAGGGCTGTCAGAGTCAGGTTTGCTTAGTCTAGCAAAGAGACGGTTGAGGTAGAGGACATGACMTTTTAGTAGGAAAAGGTGTTTGTAAAAGTGTCCATGATTAGTTGTTGTTCACTGAGTTTTGGCAAAGATGAGAAAAAAAAATAGCCAGGATTGCATAAGGAAGATTGCAGATTGTACCTATCAAGACGGTGAAACAGCAGAAGATACCGTGGATCCTTTTGTTTGGAAAGCTTTAAGAACAAGTTAGGGAACCATCTCCGGGGAGGAGTGCTGTGAGCTGTGATTGCTCCTGCCTCCGGGAGCAGAGGGGATCTGSGGGTATCCCTGCCTTCCAGCTGCACAGTTCATTGACTCTGTGAGCACGGATGCACTCAGTGCACTCAGTGCACATGGGCAGCTGGGGGCAGAGCCGCGGGCTGGGAGCGCAGGCTGCGGAGCTGCAGGGTGAGCGCGGTGAGGCCACGACGTGCTGTCGCGCGTGCCCTGGCAGCGAGGCCGGCGGCCGTTGTGTGCTTCATGGCGCCACGATGGTTGGGGTCCTGTTGCTGCTGGCATGGTGGGACAGAAACCGTTYGGGAATGGCAGACAATGCCAGGAAAACTCCGCGCGGGCGGGACTGGTGGAAACCACAACCCTTTAACCCCCAAATTCCTCCAGCATCTGGCCAAGTTGAAGACGAGTTTCATAGAGAAACTGAAGCAGCACTGTGCCTACCTGGCAGAGACCAACTGCAGGTTGGTGGAGGACATTCAGCACACCGATGACCACACCGCCAAGCAAGCCAGAGACCTGCTGCAGCAGTATGAATTGTTTGGGGTGAGGCTCTAGTGTTGGCCAACGGAGCCGGTTCAGTAGAATGCAAAGCTGCTGTGTTACACCTGGTTGTGCCCATGGAGGTGGGTGCTCCGCACGGCCAGAGGGTGCCTTGAGCACTGCCCGGGCTGCAGGAGCTCTCTGATGCCGCAAGATCATCGAATCTTAGAATCAGTAAGGTTGGAAGGGACCTTTAGAGATGATCTAGTCCAACCTTCCTGCACATGCAGGGTCACCTAGAGCACGTGGCAGATCCTGAGAGGTTCTGTTGCTGAACCGTGTTTTAAAGCCACAAGAGCATCCCAAGCATAACTGTTCCAAGCCACAGATCTCGTAACAGCCCAGACACTTCCCTCCATATGCGCCTGGCTCCTGGAAGCACCAAGGCACCCCCAAGCACAGCTCCTGCACTCCCTGCTGTGCACACGCTGACCGTAGCCCGAGCAATGAATTCCCTTTTGCTGTTAATGCAGGCAGCAGCATGAGAGAGAAACATCAGGGATGCTCTAGGGGGACATTTCTGAGCTCCATGGAGTGATCACTGAATTTCTCTGTGCAGACAGTCCAGTCAACAATGCAGAACTTCACTCAGAGCTGTCTGGATATGGCAAGAGCAGAATTTGAAGAAACGGAAGAAAAAATGAAAAAGAATTTGGGAAGTAAGTTGCTCACATCAGTGCAAAGCAGACCGTGCACCATGTTACCTTTGCTTTCCATCTCGTTGGATACAAAACACTGCGTTGGTGGSATAAATGTCAAGCAATTCCATTTCTGAAAAGCAAACCCAATGCTCCGTGGGCTTGATCTTCCTGTCAGCGATGACCAGGGAAGCGCAGAGCCCTGCGAGCCGTCAGCCCATGCTGAGGGCAGGAGGAAGCATCTCCTGGGCAGCCGTTTGCTTGCCTGGATCCTTGTTGAGGCAGGCTCTGGTCAAAAGTGGTGCGACTA